AGAGAGAGAGAGAGAGAGAGAGAGAGAGAGAGAGAGAGAGAGAGAGAGAGAGAGAGAGAGAGAGAGAGAGAGAGAGACCGTGCTTATTCATGCTCGTGCTCTCCAAGATTAAACAGCCATTATTCAGATTTCGACAAATTGTTAGTTTCCCTTTTTAAGTTGGGCGATATTCAACGTGGATTGTGCAGACTTGCATCTACCCGCCATATCCGTGGGATGGGTGGGGCTTATGATTGGAAATGGCAGTCCTCACGATTGGAGACGGCGGGCTCCGTGATTGTTTTTGTTTTTGATTTATTATATCTCTTAATTGGGAAGCTATATCCAAATTAGCATTAGCACGCTCGCAGCTAGTCTGGCGACTAGTCATTGACTCATTGGGGACGGCAAAACGTTGGAGGGGATGTACTCACAGTAACTGTAGGACTTTTCCGAACGAGTTCTGGACGTAATACCGGTCTGGTACAGCGAGCACAGGCCTAAATTGTGGTCAGATGCGTCGAGGAGAGTCCTAGTAGAATTGCCCCCGCAGAGGTGGTAGGCTTGTCAACGCGTACACTGCTGGTGATTAACGATTCTACGGCACAAGGTTATGCCTGCAAAGTGAAAATATTGAGGGGAGAGAAAAAGAAGAAAAACAGAACGAATCTTCGGAGGTCAAGTTTATATTGTGACATAGGTGAGCAACCCAACAAAAAAAAAACAAAGAAAAAAACGATCGAGCCAGAAGGGGGCCTACCTGTAGGCGGCGGGTTGTGTGAGTAATTAGGGGGAAAAGACTGATCAGCCAAACCGAAGGATCGCTATGGCTTGGTTACCTTGGTATGCCTGCTGCTGGTTTGGTATGCCGACGCAATCACTGCCGCTGCTGGTCGGGATCGTTACCACGTGGGGACTTCTCGCTTGCTCCCCGTGCGCAGAAGGAGCGGCTGCGAGGTTCATGCCAGGAGTTTCGGTCCTCCACAGGGACGACCGGATGGGCGTGTCGTCGGCAGAAGCACGACCGCTCGGTAGCCCTGATCCCCTCCTCAAGGCCTCTGCAGGCCGGCGGGAACTGATCTCCCTGCACCCGTTGTTTGTCAAGGAGAGGAGCGGGTCGCTTGTGAAGCACCCCATTATGCGTGCCGGCGGTGACTCTTATTGGTGCGGATCTGCTATATTCCATCTCGTGGTGGCAGAACCCTCCCAAGTGGACAAGGAAGTGGACAAAGCCATGATCTATTATGTCCTGGACGAGTTGTGCCTAGCCCCCAACGGATCCATCACAGACAGGGCGATATCCATCAGGAACGCAAGTTTCTCGCTGGCTGATCGAGCACCGTCTCTCTTGAATGCTAATGACAACAACACGCTCGTAACCTACTGGTGGCCGGCTTCCTCGCCCAATGGGACAAAGGTCTCTGATCGGCTACTCGTGAAGATGGGGGTGAACATGAGCACTTCGGTGGCGGAAACGCCCGTCTTCTATGGCCTGGACGAGTCGAGATCGCAGAGCAACCTGGTCGTCAGTTCTCAGCCCTACGATGTCGGCGGCACGCGCATCATCACCTCTGTCTCTGTGATAGATGGGTCGCGCTCGTCAATCGATCCGGGTGTGAGCTCGCTGCAGAGCTTGGCGCTCGATCCCGCCAACAACAACCTGTACATATCCGACAACTCCGAGACCTCCGCGAAGATCTTCTCCGTGCCTGTACCCGACTCTGGTCTTCCCACAGCTGGGGGGGACCTGTCCCAGGTGCTCAGTACGTTTGGGGATACCAGCGTCTCGTCGATTTATTTCGGTCCCTACAGCTTCGTCTCGGGCGGGAGTTGCATGTACTTCCGCGACGACCAGCAGAAGCGCGTGTGGGGTTTCGATCCCCGACGCTCCTCCTCCTCCTCCGACGCCACGCTCGTGGCAGGATCGGCACTCCCTGGGTGGCACGCCGTGCAGAATGTCGATGACGCCAACACCACCTTCAACCGCATGCAGGCGCTGGTAACCACACCCGATGGGTGCAATCTCTTCGTCACGGACGAGATGGACGGGAATGGACTGGTTCGATGGCTGAAGCTAGAGCGGCCCTGTAGCCTGGCAACACGCGTGGAGGTGGTGGCAAAACACAACGGCATAGGGTCGTCCAGCCTGGCCTTGCACATAGCTRAGGGTCGGGTAAGTCTCTTTCTTGGCTCGTCAGATGGCGACGTGTTTCAGCTGGTAATCAACGAGGAGCTTCTAGGGGGTTGCGGCTCTGACCAATCTCCCCTCGGCAGCGGCAGCAGCCCGCCGCCATCATCGTCCTCCTCACTCCCCCTCCCCACTCCTTCACCTGCCGAATGCCAACCGAACCTAGCGGTCATCATCGCTCTGTCCTTCGGTGGCGGTAGCTTAACGACCGTCCTCGCTCTTCTAGGCGCTGTCTGCTACAAGAGGCAGGTTAGCGGACAGAACTCGCGAGCCGGACAGGGTGAGCGGCCGGCTGGGCTAGCCTCCGCCGATTCCCCCTCGAGGGCCCGCATCAATGGCCCGCATCGATGGCCCCTACATAGTTTCTTCTTCCCCCAAAAAGGAACGCGGGGTCTATACCACAGTATCTCTATTGATGACCCAACACACTGGTAATGACCGTGGAGCCCTTCTATTTGGGGGAAAAGGAATTCCCCCCCGTTGACACGAGAACACCGCTCATCAGTGAAGCCAAAAGCTATGAATCCCCCCCGGAGGCCGCCACGCGCGGCCGCGGCAGAGCCACTGCGTGTGCTCGCCGTAGTGGTAGCGGTCAGTCGCGGGGGTTGCAAGAGTGGGGATGGCTCGTTGGGGTTAGGCAACCCCAACCCTGCCCCCTAACACCAAAAAAAAAAAAAAAAAATTCTGCGGAAGGGGGGATGTTGTTGGTAAAAACGGATTTTGATAAAACAAAAAAGGGGAAACTGCTTCTGAGTCACCTTTTTAGTTTGCGGAAAGTTCGAAACTGTGTGCTGTGTTTCAAAAAACAAAAAAGATAGCGGGGAAACTTTACCCCTTTTTTTGAAGTGGCATGAATGCTAGGTTGTCCATTCCAAACACTAGTTGTGACCCAGGAGCCATTGGGCAAAAATAAGAAATCTTGATTGATTGATTGATTGATTGGTTGGTCTATTGGTTGACTGATTGATTGATTGATTGATTGATTGATTGATTGATTGATTGATTGATTGACAGAATGATTGACTGATTGATTGACTGATTGATTGACTGATTGATTGATTGATTGATTGGTGGGGGAGAGGTCGCCTCTCTACCCCTCACATGCACACACACACTCACAGACACTCACACAACTTTTTTTCACTATAGATTGATTGATTGATGGGTGGGAGAGGGGTCGCCCCCCGGACACGCACACACACACACACCGGCCAACAGGAAAGTCTCGAACCCCGCGGCTGCCCTCACGCTATGAGCAAAATAGAATGAATCTTCCGCTAGAACATCGAAATATACCTTACTACACGTTTGTGTGTGTATGTGCGCGTGTGTAAGTGTGTGTGTGTGTGTGTGTGTGTGTGTGTGTGTGTGTGTGTGTGTGTGTGTGTGTGTGTGTGTGTGTGTGTGTGTGTGTGTGCGCCTTTGTGTGTGTATGTGCGAGTGAGGGTTGGGGCGGTGGGGGGCGGCGAACCCTCCCCCAATCAAGCAAGCAAGCAAGCAAGCAAAAGTTAAAGAAATTTAAAAAAAATAACTTGTAGTTGTTTTTTTTTTCTTTTCTC